AATATATTGTGGCAAAGCTAAGTTCTGATCTTTCTTCCGGTGGTGGTGGGGAGGTTGTTTTTGTTGTTGGTTGTTTTTACTTTTTTTTTCCTTGTGTTTTAGTAGTTGGTCTAGATCAAATCTGCAGAATCTCTCTCTTGCAGTGTTCTAGACAGTTGTGTTTCTTGGTTTTTTTAAATGTGTTTGTTGTTATCTTTATTTTTAATTTGGCTTCCTAGTGGGTTTAATATCTTATGGTAACCGATGAGAGGTTTTGCCCAAATCCTTAAGCCAGTAAGATTTTCATTCTTTGCCTATGAATATGTGTGTGGCTGCAGGACATTCAATGTACACGGGCTTTCCCCAGGTTTTCCTTTTCAATGGGTCCTTCTGGTACTTTCTTGTATTTATATCTCCAAGTCACGCAGGGATAACGTTTAAGATTAACTCTCCTAGTAACTTCCAAGTATATGACATGTTTTCATTAACTATAACCACTAGGCTGTACAATGGACTTCCAGAACTTGTTCATCTTATCACTGGACCTTTGTCCCTTTTGACCAGCGTTCGCCATTTCCCCCACTCCCATGCCCTCAGTTTCTATGAGTTCAGCTTCTTTAGAAATGATATAAGGCATATGACATTGAATTTGTCAACCACTTTTGGCCATTTGTATTTTCATTTGGAGAAAGCTTATTCAATCCTTTGCCCATTTTTAAATAGCACTGTTTGCTTTTTTGTTGTTGAGTTGTAAAAGACTAGAATTTACATTTGGTTCTTTTTTTGCGGTTTCTAGTTGTTTGAGATTTCCTATTTGCTGACTCATAGTCATAATATTTTCTTTTGATTCTTTAAACAAAATCTGGATACTAGATTCTTAAAACACTTACTATTTGCAAATATTTTCTGCCATTCTGTGAGTTACCATTTTACTCTTTTGATAATGTCCTTTAATGCCCATCAGCTCTTGATTTTAGTGAGATTTAATTTATCTATTATTTCTTTTGTTGTTTGTGCTTTTGGTGCCTTATCTAAGAAATGATACCCAATCCTGAGGACAATTTTGAAACTTTTACTGTGTATTTTTCAAGACTGAATACCACTATTTGCAAATATTTTTCTCTTATTACCTTATCTAAAATTTCATCACAGGAAACAAAGGTCACTCAGAAAAGAAGAATCACATAAACTATATACTTTTCAAATTTTGAATCTACTATTTAATTACAGGGATCTGTAGTAAACTAAGCATTAGACACACAAGCTGTGTCCAAAGTGAGCTTGAAGGAGCTCAAAGTATCCTGAACCACAAAGAACTTACTCTACAAATAAGTGCTTATGGCTGCATCCAGTTATATTGGGGAGTTATCATTCTACTCTCTTACTGTATAATTAAATTCCCAAATTAGCTTTTATATAAAATTAACTATTGATTAAAGATAAGTAATTAAAATGTGCTATTTTGAAACATGCACAAGAGTAAGCAAAAAATTATTTCAACTTAGACCACAGAAATATTTTTTCTCAGGAGTATTTTGTAACTGATATTGTTCAGAATTACCTGAGCATGATTATGGTAAAAAAAAAAAATGAGTGACTTTCTAGTTGGTTTATAATTGCTTGAATAGTATCTACAGATAATATACCGCTTTGTTGTTTGCATCCAGAATGGACATCTTCTCCAGCCCTGCTCTTCAGGTCACTACTTTTCTTGGAATGAGTGGTTCCTGAAGCTCTTCCCAACACACCAGCTTCATTGCTTGTATTTTTTATTTAAAGATTTATATATTTATGCAAACAAGAACTGGGGTACAGGCCAGAAGTGTGAGAGGTAAGAGGACTCACCAAAGACAGAGTGGGGAGCAGAATGGGCAGGTTGATTGAAATACACTGCTGAGGGGAGCAGTGTGTGGGTCAGAAGAGGTCTGCTGCACCATGTGGGTCACTTCCCTGGCTGGGATTGAACTCGTGCTGCAGTGACTGCGGAGAGCTTCATAGTGCTGCACTTAATTGGGCTACTAGGGAAAACCCGACACCAGCTACAGTGTTACCTAGAGATGAACATTCTCAATGCTACCCTTGACCTATTACTTCAGTGATTCTGGGAGAAGAGCCTCCCATAATTCTAAAGCAGTTGTACATTTAGAACTGTCATATTAGAACAGGGCCCTGCCAGAACCGAGACTGCAGTCTAGGGCAGTATGAGTCAGTACTGTGAGGTGATAATGTAAGGCAGGAAAGTGGCCACCAGTTCTAGGTCCTGTCCTTCCTGCGACCAGTGAAGAAACCGACTGCTGGCTAGCAGAGAGAGTGTATTAGCTTCTAGACCTTCACACAGTCTCCATGGAACAAACAACCAGCAACCAAAGGATGGTAGATGCCTAGAGATTGTGGTTGCCAAGATTGATGGACTTGGATTTGGTTTGTTTTTAATTCAGCATCCTGCTGTTGTGCGGCATTTAGCACTCCAGCCACCACTCATGCTTACCGTCCTCCTTGGGCTGTTGCTCCACATAAATGTACTTCCAGGGTCAGCAGCCCACGTCCTGTGATTCAGCCCCTGCGGAGGAGGCTCGGGCACCCTATGTGCTAAGAATAGAATTTTCCATTTCAACTTTATTTGAAAGAAGCTTTTCTCTGCTTCATGCATCAGATAATTAAAACTACACTAAATGCCAAGGAATTATGCATTGGGTTAGGATTACAGTGATAAACAACCTGACATGGTCCCTGCTCTCAAAATGCAGAGAAAGGGGGCTTAAAAAATTGGATATAAATTGTGCTAAGTTTGATCATGATTTCTAACAAACTCCCTTCAAAAATGAGAGAGATAAGCCTTCATCTAGGTTTCTCTCTGCCACTGATTTTCTAATACTTTCTATAGATGTTAAGTAGGTTCTTGTACCAATTCCATGTAGGGAAGGATATCTTCCCACAAACAAGCACTTCTTGGGACAGCAGATGGGTGTCCTACAAGTCAACACAATGTTGACAGTGTATACCTGGAGACAGCATCAGTTCCAGAGGATCAGAGGTTCAGTCAGTCCTACAATACTGCCCTGACCACCACCTGAGCCTCTGCTTCAGACTGTAGTACTTATGCCCTGAAGGTTCCAATGACCCCCTCCTTGAACTTCAACTGTAAATCAGAGGTTCTCATGAGCCCCACCATGAGTTTGATCAGTGTGCACAGCAACTCACAGGACTCAGAGAAACATTTCACTTCCTGGATTGCTAGATCCCCCCAACCCCATTTATTCAGTTTGCATTCCATGGTTTCAATTACTTGCAGTCCTCTGTGGTCAACTGTGTGAATTATGCATGATATTTTGAGTGAAAGAGCCATATTCAGTTAAGTTTCATTACAGTATATTGTTTTATTTATTCTATTTTAAGTGGATTATTGTTAACCTTTTACTATATTCTTCTAACCATTCCATTTTATTAGTCTGTTGTTTTAATCTAATTTCTTATGCTATTGCTGTTAATCTAATTTATTATGCTATTGCATAATAAATTATTGTCCCAAGGTTTTGGCTCAAATATAAATGAGCTTATTATTATAATATCCACAGAGGGGACTCCCAAAACTAATGCCATGTGAAAGGATATGAATCCTATCTTTATCCTTCTGGGACAGTTTTACAGCTGAAGGTCACAGAAACATCTGGACACTAACATCTAGAACAGCTAATGTTTCCAAGCATTTTAGAAGAGTAATAATATGGTAGTACGAACAGTAATATAGAGAAACCCTATTAAAATGAGGCACAACTAACAAACAGCAGTAGGACCCAGTGTGCCTTGCCTACTGCTAAGCCTGGCACAGACCAGGTGTGTTCTCTGTGTTTTCACTTCCCTTCCCCTTTCTTACTTCATTGCATTGTAGTATATGCCTGGATACATATGTGAGAACCTGTATAGCTTTCATATTCCCACCACTCCTCTCTGAGCTTACTGAATTTGTTCAGGAACTGCACCTCTTCTCCCCTGCCTGAATGATATTCTGAACGGTTGCTTTCAAGTGTGAAATGGTGGGGTATGATTAACCTTGACAATCTGCAAACGTCTTTTCCATGGTGTTAACCCACGGCCTCCATGTTGGCCAGTACCTGCCCGCCGGGTGAGTGACTCCCACATGCGGGCAGAAGAGGGCACCAGAGCCTGGTACTGACCTGGAAGCCAGTCCTTCTTTCCTGGGACTCCACTTGGATTTTAGCTGGTGTCTTCCCACAGGTAACATTTGTTCCGCTCTTCCAAACAATGCTTTCGAACCTGGAGGGAAGAATCACAGGGTTGCTGCTGGAATCCCCCGAGTCCTTCTGCTCTGAGGTGAAATGCAGAGCTGCAGCTCTGCTCGGGAGGACTGCTGTCCTCAACCTCCTCTGTCCACTTGTGGCTGAGGGCTGCTGCGGCGTGGGCACTGGGGAAAGTGGTCAGCACCAGGAAAAGACACCGCTGGGCCTGGACACCAGGGAGGGATGGGAGGTGGGGCTCTTTTCATGTCACTGACCCCCTGGACATTTCTCACAGGTGGATGAGGCTGTGGCAGTTCTGCGGGCTTACCATGCTACGAAAAAATGGCCCAGAAGGCGGGCACGGTTGCTGCTGCTGCTGCCTCTCAGACAAGGAAGAGTCGTACATTTGGGTGTTCAATTTCCTGCAGTGGTGTGCTCCCGAACAGCATCGGGAGAAAGACACAGTAGGGAAGGATGGACACAGTACTGGGAGTCCCCTTCCATGGACGCTCGTCATGGCAACTTGGACAAGTGGCCCCCAAACAAGTCGGGGATGGCCCGCGGACCAGAGCTTATTACTCGGACACCAAGGAACTGGTCGAGGGCTGTTGCCCACCTCACAAGCAGCTTCACTCGGCCCGGTGCCCCTGACCCCGCGAGCTCAGAAGTAGCGTCTCAACTCCGTCCCCAGAGGGGTGGGCGGGGCCTCCGTGCGCGAGAGGCGGACCGAAGCTGGGGGGGCGGGGCCTTGCGGAAGGGCGGGCTTAGCGCCAACTTCCGGCGGAAGAGCGCGGGAGCAAGATGGCTACTACCAAGCGTGTGCTGTACGTGGGTGAGCAGGCGCGGGCTCTAAGCGGAGACGGCGAACCGAACCCGACATGGGTCTGGGGTTGGGGCGGGATGCGTCTCAGGGTGTGGAGGGCTGCGACCATCTCTTGCGTTAGGATCTGTGGTTGCACTGCTTTGTTTTAAGGTTTGAACCATAGAGGTGACGAACTTTTCCGTCTCCCTTCCAGAACAGTTAAACTAACAGGAACACCTCATCTCCTGGGCTGCAAGACTTGGTAGAGACATTATGGACTGTAAACTCACCCGTCCATTTATTTTTTAAACCTTCATTGCAGTGATGGTTCGACGCCGCCCCCTGCCTTAAAGGAAGGGGTGTTAGGTTGGCGAGATAGAGTGACAGTAATTTAAGTAGCATAGTTTGATGAGAGATTTGATAGGGACAGTCTATGATGACATGGAACTGGGTGCTGCAGGGAGAAGTGAACTCTCCATCTGGAGAGGTGACACCAAACCTTTCAGGAGGTGGTGAAGCCGCAGTTGATATGCTATAATCATGTAGTCAAAGTTGGGGCAAGTGTGTTTTCTGAAGGGAAGCAATAAGAGCAAAAGCCCAAACATGTGGGGAAAAAGGGGTTATTTTGTAAGAAACACAGGGAATTGGGAAAGCAAAGAGAGACTGAAGTGATGGACAAAACTCAGTTTATGAAGAGTTAGTATACACTTCAAGGTAGTTTATAGTTTATTCAAACAGTGGGAAACTTGTGAAGGTGGTAAGTAATGAAGTGATGATTTAAAATCTGCACATTCCCAGGAACACTCTAGTTGGCTGTGTGGAAGAGAGGGTGGTCTGTTAAGAAGCTATGGTGGTAATCCAGGGACTAGATAAATGTCTGAAGAAAGGGTGAAGCTAGGAAGGTGCTTCATAAGTATGGGTGAAGGAGTAGATTAGATGGGATACTTATGTACCCAAAAGCTGGATGGAAAAACCCTTACCCTTGGCTATACCATGCTAACTGGGCTGCAGGAACTTATCAAGAGAATGGAGCACAATGACTCCAAAGTCATTTGGCTTCTTTGCAGGTGGGCTGGCAGAAGAGGTGGACGACAAAGTTCTTCATGCTGCATTTATCCCTTTTGGAGACATCACAGATATTCAAATTCCTCTGGATTATGAAACAGGCAAGTCCTTTTTTTAGTGTTGCTCATGTTCAGAATCCTCCTAGGAAGAGAATTTAAAATATTGTCTTAAGTCATACCGTAGTGCATTCTAAGTGGCATATATGAAAGATCAGGAGGGTACATGACAGTGATTGTGATGCTAAAGGAATATTCTGTAGTGTGGTTGTGAAGTATAACATATTTTGTAGCGTCCTATCTGTTGGGTTTGAGGTAAGACACACTTTCAATGTCCCCGTAGGAAAATGGGTTTTGGGTTACATGGAGATCTGACTGTAATTCCAAACTACATTCTGGGTACCCCACTATTCTTGCCCCCTTTGGTAGCTGTACTACTAAACAAGGCAGCAGGTAAGCCCAGTCCCAACAATGGGTGAGATCTTGGCCTCTGTACATCTGGATACATTTTCCTTTGACTGGCATGCAGTTACAGATCAATTTTCTGTTTTACCTTTCTTGTCATTTTTAAGATTGGAGCTAAGGTCCAGTTTTTATCCTCAACTTTGCAAAGCTTTTAAGCTCTCTGGGCCTGGGATCTTTATCTATAAAACACAGTAAAGCTCTAATGGTCTCTAAAGGTAATCACCTAGTTAAATAAACACTGTTGTGGTTGGCCTTTCTAGTTAGAGTAGCATTTTTCTGAGGGCAAAGATTAAGCATCCGTATCCATGTTTTAGGCTTTATGCTTGGTTGATGCTCAAGATGTAAACTTGGAATGAATAATTGGTATGTTAAATGACTTAATTTTTCTGTCTGCCTTGCATGCAAAAAAGATTTGACTTGATTTTGGTAGAAGAATCTAATGCTTATTTTACTTATTTGTAATTCCAAGCAATGCTTATTTAAATATTAAAAGTATAGTTCATTATTTAGTTGTGTTCTAGAAAATAAGGTTTAATAATGCTTGAAATGTTGTTTAAAGTAGGAAGAATAGAACGGTGAGATTTCTTAATTAACGATTGGATAGTATTCCTAGTGTCTGATTGTGGTATGAGACTGACTTCATTTTCCTTGTGACCGTCTGTTTCTTCCTATTGTCCCACATGGTATATACTTGATTTCACTTTCTTTTTCTTTTTCTTTTTCTTTTTCTTTTTTTTTTCAGAAAAGCATCGAGGATTTGCTTTTGTTGAATTTGAGTTGGCAGAGGTGAGATAATTTCATGTTACCTATGCTGTGCTTAGCTTTGGCTTATGTTACTGTTTTTACTTATTACAAAGGAAGCTGTTCTCCATTGGTTAGATTTCTGGGCCTCACACTGATACTTGTAGACTGGCAAGAAGAACTGTTCAGAGGAAAGCTTCCCTCACTTAACCTAACTGTAGAACCTGCCAGGTCTTACCCTTCTCCTCTGCAGAGCTTCTACAGCCTTGCTCACAGAGCACTTCCCTGGCAACGCTGTCGATTATTTCTCATGCCTTCCAGTAGATAGCAAACTGCTGCACTACCATCTCTGAAGTCAGTCAGGAAGTGTTCCTTGTTAGAGATGCCCATGGCCTAGACAGAAAATAGAGAAGTAACTTTTCCTGGGGGCCTTGTTTTTGAGTGTTTAGACACTACAAGCAATACTGAGCTGCAAGCCTCACTTATCCCTTTTCTGTTCTTGGCAGGATGCTGCAGCGGCCATCGACAACATGGTATGACTGGGAGTTCTCGCTGAAGTTGCTTTTTGGTGGTACAGTTCAGGTTTGCTGAACTTCCCAAGTTACAAGGTTGCATAGAGAAGTAAAAATTGTCATCATGTGAAAATAGTCACTGTGAATGGATCACTTGTAAAATTACCCTTTCTTTAATATCTTTCCCCATTACAATAATGTAAATCCTAATTATCCTTGTTGGCTAATTAGCTAATTTCTCACTGACTGCTCATGTCTAATAAGTTGCAAACACAATGCATATTGTTTGCCCAGTGAAGCTGCATATTTTTTGCAAAAGAGACAGTGTTCAGTGAGCTGTTAAGCCAGTTCACAGTTGAGAACAGTACAGTTGAGGATGGCGATAGGTTGTGCTAGTGATGCAAATGATTTGATTATCCTGGAGAGGTCCTTGGGAAATACTATGAACAGCTTGGGTATTTGTGCCCTCTTTGAGATCTGATCTTCATGTCGCATGTGAATCGCAATGGTAACATGTACTGTAGGATTTTGTTCTGTCTTCCAACATTTGTCTAAATACTGCAGCTATCAGTATCTAATATATTTTTATTTTACAAATTATAGTGCATAGTTAAGCCTAAATTTTATAAGAAAATTTCATGTTTTTTGTTTATCACAAAAAAAGTTACAAGTAAACCTTGGATTCAAACATGAAATTGTCTTTACTGTCTTTAGTGGATTCACATTAAATGGCCTTTCCTGGTATCAGTTTTCTTTGGTTAACTAGGTTCTTCTTTACTCCTGTCCTCTGTTACCCATTCATAACCAAACATATTCCTTGGCTTTCAGAGAGATTATTTTTCGCCATTTCAAAGCTGACTTTTGAAAATGAACTCAGATGCTTGGAAACTGCATTTATTCTTGTAATTTCAGTCCACCCTGAAACCAGAGTTTTTTGGTAGCTTAGATCTATGTTGGTACTGAAGAAAGGAAGTTATGTGGGTCCTCCTGGTGGCACAAGGGGTTAAGAAGCAGCACTGTGAAGCTCTCTGCAGCCACTGTAGCGTGAGCTTGTATCCCTGGCCAGGGAGGTGACCCACATGGCACAGAAAATCTCTCCTTTTTCGCCCGCTGTTCCCCTCAGCAGATCTGCCTCTTCTGCTCCCCACTCTGTCTCTCGTGAGTCCTATCACCCACTGCATCTCTGGTCTGTACCCCAG